ACGTAGGATTTGCACCAACAAATTCTAGTCAAAATTCTATAAATAGGAAAAGGCTTGAAATCGAACTTAAAGGTTGCTTTCGGGGATTTAACCAAGGATTAAGGGATTAACTGATTTATATTGATTAAGGGATTAATTGCAAGGAAAGTTGGTTCTCTGTGTCGCGCCAGGAGGTTTCTCTCGTCTGAGTCTACCCTTCAAATCTACAAATCAACCATTCGTCCTTGCAGTGAATAACTGCTTCCATATATAGTCTGGTACCCCCGATGTTCCTCTCGAGGTCCTGGACAAAATCTATCATCTGGCATCTCGTCTACAGTCACTTTCTCACAGATGTGGTGTGGCTTCCCTCTGTCTTTTCTACAAATATTTTCATGGCATCTGCTCAGCCGAGCTTCTTTCACTGGTACCCTAATTAAATGAAGTTAAGCGTGCTACTAAGTTGGCATCTCCGTCCCACCCTTTCATTGTCGAAACAGTTAAATGTAAACGCCTCTTCCAATCCAACAGCTTCTTCTCTCACACTTCCCGACAGTAGAACTCCCTTCATCTTACTCGCTTCCCTGATAGCTATAATTTTCAAATATTTAAATGTAATGTCAATCGACATTTTCTGATGCCTTGATCTTGAGCCCCGTCCTTCTCTTTATCCTTTTCTCAAACACCCCTCTTTACTCTTACTTTCACTCTCTGTAACCACTTATGTGCTTGCTTGGGGAGAAATGGATAATGATATTCACAGCATCCTTCTGTAGAACCACCAGTGGAACTCCCGTCTTATTACTTGCTTCCCTGATAGCTATAATCTTCAAATATTTAAATGTAATGTCAATCGACATCTTCTGATGCTTTGATCCTGATCCCCGTCCTTTTCAATATCCTTTCCCCAAATACCCCTCTTTACCCTTGCCCTCACTCTCTGTAACCCCTTGCATGCTAGTGGCATTCCCGCCTTGCTTGATTAAGATATGTTACAAGTGTTTTGTCAAAAAATCTTGTAATATCATATGCTTCAGACTTTCAAATACACTAGTCATTGGGAAAACAAGTTCCTTTAACTGTGATTCATAATTTTTCATTTTCTTTCAATGAGATTCACAAAGCTGCATTTGACTGGAAGCTTTGGGTTTCTCATCTAATTAATAATCATCATTATTACTTACTTGCTTGCTTTCCTGATAGCTATATCTTCAAATGTAATGTCAATCGACATCTTCTGATGCCTTGACCTTGATCTCCGTCCTTCTCTTTATCCTTTCCTCAAACATCCCTCTTTACTCTTGCTCTCACTCTCTGTAAACTCTTGCGCGCTAGTGGCACTCCCGTCTTGCTTTAGGCGAAATGCTTAAAAAAATATTGATTAAGTGATTAATAACTGCCAGGGCCTTTATTCATACCTACATTTATATTCAGCCATATGATACTCATAAAAAAAAATCTATGTATCTGTTTCTACTTAGGCGTTTCAAACCATTCACATCTATCTGTAAACGGAATTCCTCGTCAGTCATAGAAAAGTTCAAGGTCATAAGCCGCCAGATTCAGAACGAGGTAAGAAAATGAAAGCAGTACCTCCTTGCTGTGGACTAACGACTATCAAGTTATTGATGGAGAACATTACTAGTGTAGGGATCTTATCATCATTGATGGCCTACACTTGTGATCTTGTGCTTCACATAGCAAGGTTGAGAGGATAGGGTGTGAGAAAATAAAATGGCGGTGTGAAGGCAATGTAAGGAAGAGAGAATCACGGAATATTTGGACAGAGACGCAAAAGAAAGGATAGGCGAAGAGCGACAGATGGGGTTGGAGGGATTAACACACACATAGGCACAAACAGGAAAATTAAACACGTGTGTGCGTGTGAATATATCGGAGGTATGCCGTCATCGCCACCAGTAATTAGCAATTAAAGCGAAAAATATAGGCGGCAAAAACCGCCATATTTTTATGGCCTCTTTCCGACGATTAAAGCATTTTGGTTTGAAAATGTTTTTTTCTTCTTTCTTCATACTTGTAATCGGTGTTTACAGAGAGACGAAGAAAAAGAATTAAGAAATATATATATATATATATATATATATATATATATATATATATAGGGAGAGAGAGAGAGATATAGAGAGAGAGACAGAGAGAGAGACAGAGAAAGATAAATAAAAGAAAAGTCGAAAGAAAGAGAATGGAAATAAATTATAAATTAAGATGAATGAGAGAACGAAAGCGGGAAGTGAGAGGGAGAGAGTATAAATGACAAAAGAGAGAAGGGATAGAGACAATAGGTGGGAAGAGGAGGAGAGCGTGCAACAAATGAAAGAAAGAGTGAATAAGGGAGAGAAAAAGGGAAAAGAGAGTGAGAGAGAGAGAAGTGTAAGAAAAGAAACGTTGAGATAGATAGATAGATAGATAGATAGAGAGATAGAGAGAGAGAGAGAGAGAGAGAGAAAGAAATATAGAAAGAGAATAAATAGAACGAAATAAAAGTAATTAAGAAAGAGTGAGGGTGGGAAAATAGGAAGTAATACAAAAGAGAATAAAGAGAAAAGAGAAAAGAGTTTATGAAAGAGTGAAAGAAAGAAGGAAAGAGAGGAAGAGTTCAGATGAGTGCGAAGGAAAAAGGAAAAGAAGGAAATAAAATAAATGCATAGATATAGACGAGAAATACATATATGAATAAATATATATATATATATATATATATATATATATATATATATATATATATATATATATAATAATCTTATAAATGTAAGTAATTTTACTCGTCTGGAAAAACCTAAGGTGTTTTTGGCTTGTAAATGAACAAACCAATACCCAAGGAAAAATAAGGAATAAAAAAAGAAAGAACTAAGAACATGTAATTCAGGCGAAAACAATCGTCCAGAATCCCAGCTCAGAGTCCAAAGAAAAAAAAAAACCCGACACGAGGAAAGCAAAAATAACTAAGCAATGTGCTCAATACACTAAATAGAGCAAATCTAACTATGAACCTAAACAACCAAGCAAACCTACCCAGGATTTACCTACGTCATATCGTCAGGATGCCCTGAAAAAAAAAACCAAAAACAGTAACACAAAAGAGGTAACAAAAGAAAAAAAAAAACCATTTTTAGTTATATATATATTTATTAAAACATTTTTTATGTTTAAGTTTTTTATAATATAAATAAATGCCTACAACAGTATTAAAAAAACATTGACCATGTGAAATTTTCTAGAAAAAAAAAAATTTACGGCATTGACGTGCCTTAACCGACTCGGCCACTCAAAGGAGCGTTCGGTAGACAAGGTCGAATTTACTGCTTATAAACTTCAATCTTCCATGAATCTCGTACATTCATAACTGCTCTGGCGTATCAAATGTAAACAAATGACGTCATATATTAAGAAATGGACAAAGTCCGACAATTTATTTATTAAAGACATTTATTAAATGACGGTTCCGTATAGTATGCAGGTTCGAATCCTGTCAAAGGACGAATATTTTCTATGAAAATTTCTCAGACATTCAGGCCGGTAAATGTTATTTAATACTGTTTATCATAAACAGAGAATTTACTTAAATACTTGTATCTATAAAAAAAAAAACAACGTTAAACATAAAAATGTCTTTAATAAATAAATTGTCGGACTTTGTCCATTTCTTATATATATATATATATATGAAAAGAAGAGGTTATAGTGGTTCCAACGAGACAAAAGTGTGTATATTAAAAAGAAGAGCCAACGTTTTTGGTTGTAATGTGGATTTAAAAAAAAAAAAAATTATGCTTTATTTTCCATAATTTTACTACACGTGTTTCTGGTCTCGCGACCGTCATCAGGTAAGAGGCGGAGATTTCCACATATTATTAAAAATAATTAATTTTTTCTCCTTTATGTTTTTCAACGTTAAATATTCTCGGCCACGTGCATATATATATATATATATATATATATATATATATATATATATATATATATAAAGAATTCAAAAAAATAAATGAGTTGGTATAGATGAGATAGATATGAAGAGATTGGTATATATATATATATATATATATATATATATATATATATAAAAGTGATCATTGAAGTCAACACTTAGAGGCGACAGGCTGTTTCATGCTAGATGCAATCGTCAGGCCATATATATATGGTGAGAAAGTGAGAAATAAATATGGACAGAGGCAATGAAAGCAAAAGGATGGGAGAGATAAGGAGAGAAATTTAAAAAAAAAATAAAAGACGAGGGATAAAAGCATAGCTTAGATGTGGCACAAGGCCGAAAGTATGGGGCACCCAATGAAGATCGGATTCACTACTCAGTCATAAGTGTTCTAACAAGTCAAGCTCGCTGACCATTACAACACGTTGAGGGGCCCAAAATAATGAGATAGGAATGAAAAGATTGGCATAGATAGATAGATAGATAGATAGATAGATAGATAGATAGATAGATAGATAGATAGATAGATATAATGCATTGTGGTAGATAGATAGATAGATAATAAAAAATCTTGTGGTAGATGAGATAGAAAACAAACAAACCAAACCAATAGATAGATGAGATAGATAGATAGATAGATAGATGGATAGACTGAGATAGATATGGATAGACTGAGATAGATAGATAGATAGATAGATAGATAGAGACAGATGATAGATAGATATGATCAGAATGAGATAGATAGATAGATAGATATGATCATAATGAGATAGATAGATAGATATGATAGATAGATAGATAGATAGATAGATAGATAGATAGATATGGATAGATGGAGATAGATTGAGATGAGAGAGAAGAGAGAGAGAGAGAGAGAGAGAGAGAGAGAGAGAGAAGTCATGGTGTACCAAGGAATGGAATTATGAAAGTGAGCGGGGAAAGTTTATTAAGTGAGAGACAGGAGGAGGAGAGATGCAGTATAAAAAAGAAAATGGGAATGAAAAGAATTCCAACTAATTAATGAAAAAAGGAAAAGAAACGCTAATCTATATAAGATATCGTTTGGTCTGAAATGTCTCCCTTGAGTCTTTCAGTCATCGCCCTGATCGACGAAAGCCACCGTTGGGTTTCTGATGAACAAAAAACGCTTCATCGAAGACACCGACAATCGCCATCAACAAGGACAAAGAATTAGGAACTGGTCACATAACTTTCGCATTTTTGTTATTCAAATTTCATATTCCGTAAAATACTTTAATATTTTAACCATTTAGAGAATTATACATATATATATATATATATATATATATATATATTATATATATATATATATATATATATATATATATAATAGGAGAGAACTCGTTAGGTAAATAATCTAACTTGGTACTTTAATTCAATTTAATTCAAATAATTATGAACACAGCTTGGTACTTTAATTCAATATAATTCAAATAATTATATTGACGTTTTCGGCTCTTGTTTTGAAACATGAGAACTCTTATGTAGCAATGGAATCATATTCTTAAATAAATAATTATATATATATATATATATATATATATATATATATATATGTATATATATATGAAGTGAGTGAGAGAGAGCTTACAATTCATTTCGGCAAGAAAAGACAAAGACGTTCTGAAAGTTTAATTAATGGGATAATTAATGCATCAATCGAGTCAGAATAAAATCAATTATGATGCTCATAAAATCGATGATTACAAAATCGACCCATTATGAAAATAGACAATTATAAGAGTTTACGTTTGAATATAAAGAATTGGCGTTTGTCCTTGTCTTCAAGTAGGAATATAATATATACATATGGAAACGATAATTGTTGAAATTTAGTGTTTTAATCATAAATTGATAAGAGTTGCGTATATCGAAATTTTTTATTTTTTCTCCATCTTCTCTCTCTCTCTCTCTCCATCTCTCTCTCTCTCTATCTATCTATCTATCTATCTATCTATCTATCTATCTATCAGTCTCATCCATTATTATCTATCTATCTATCTATCTATCTATCTATCTATCAGTATCATTATCTATCTATCTATCTATCTATCTCATCAATCTATCTATCTCATCTATCTATCTATCTATCTATCTATCTATCTATCTATCATCTATCTATCTATTATCAATTGTCTGTTCATTATCTATTCATCTATTATTATCTATCTTCTATCTTTATCTATCTCAGTCAATTCATTAAATCTATCTATCTATCTATCCATATCTATCTCTTACAATTGGAAAGTTTTTGTTCGCTTTACATGACAAAATGACTTCATAGAGTTCACTCAAATTAGGTGTAAATACCTATTATATAAGATAAATTATTTTAGCCCCCCTCAAAAAAATGGAATGATCTACCTCTTCTGTAATTTTGAAATCTTCAAATATCTATATTGAAACTATGAAGTAACATTTCCCCTTCAATAATCCATGTTTTGTCATTCATTCACTCACACTAGTTATTCACTATTTCCTCCTCCTGTTTCTTTTATCTTCAATATATCTTGTGAGTATTAAATTCTCCATGTCGTCTTTCCTCATTATCTCATCGAAGGAATTAATTTTGTCTCCTTATGTTTGTAAGTATTAATTTTTTTTGTAGTACCTATTCCTAAAACTTTCTCATTACCCTCATGTTCAGTCCAAGGTATTCGTCGGTAGCATCACATCTCTCCCTCCTTTTTATGTAAGGAGATTGTCCAGTGTTCACTGTCATATGAGGAATTAGATACTGCATAGCAAGTCAGCATTCTTTCTTTTTTTCTTTTTTTAAGCGATTCACCCCAAGTAAGGCGGGAAACCACTAGCACACAAGAGGTTACCGAAAGTTGGAGCGAGAGAGCAAATAGGATTGATAGAGGAAAGGATGAAGAGAAGGATAGGGGATAGATCAGGGCATCCGGAGACGTCGATTGACATTACATTTGAATAGTTGGAGATTATAGCAATCAGGGAAACAAGAAACGGGGAGGGAGTTCCACAGGCGTGAAGTGCGAGACATGAAGCTATTGGAGTAGAAGAGACGGCTACATTTAACAGTTTCGACAGCGATAGGGTGGGAACGAGACGCCAGCCTAGTTGGGTGCTTAAATTCATGAAGTCTGGGAACCAGCGAAAGCAGCTCTTCAAAGCAGTTCCCATGAAAGTATTTGTAAAAAAGTCAGAGGGAGGCGACGGCACGTCTGTGAGAGAGCGACTGCAGACGAGATGCCGGATCACGGCCAATTACATTGCATATCCGTTTCTGGATTTTATCAAGGACCTTGAGACAATTAGAAGGGGCTCCAGACCATATATGGCAGCAGTACTCTATGCAAAGGCGAATGGTTGATTTGTAGATTTGAAGGATCGACTCCGGCGGGAAAAATTTCCTGGCCCGGCAGAGGGAGCCGACTTTCCTTGCGGTGGACGAAGCTATTGACTCAATTTATTCGTTCCATCTCAGGTAAAAACTTTTATCCCTTAATACTTTGCTTGTTTTCTGAAAGGCTCAAAGAGATTTCCAAATATCCACTGCTATATCAATCAAAGAACCCTCGGAGAAATCATTGAGTTAGATCAAAGCATAGTTCGACAAATTATTTCCAGCTCAACATGCGACATTCAATAAATCTTCTCTAGCTTAAATAAAACATTCTTTTTTTCAGCCAATGAAAAGCTTTAAACATTACGTAATGAAAGACATAGTCCATTTTTATGGATGCAGATCTTTTATAAAATTCCATTTAACAGCGCAACCACACAATTTGACCCAGTGCAGGTAGATAAGTCAGTTTTCATGCATTTTCCTTAGAGCTTAGAAGTTTCCCACCCACCATAATGCTAAGGAGAAACCTGATATTACTAAAGGAAACCGATTTAATGAACAGTTTGTAACAGTAAGAAAGAACTTTTCAATTCAACTTTCGTTCATACACTACTTTATTTTACTACTTTCACATCAGTTCAAACCTACATCAATTAATTATTTAATTCTACAAGTCAAATTCATACAAAATATAGTCTTGTTCCTTATACAAAAAAGAACAATACGAAACGAAGTATAAAACTACATTTCACTTTGTCTAACAGTTCACATTCTAAGATGCAAGTAATGCATGGAGGTAAATTGGTTATTTTTTATATGTCGATAGAATTTTTTTTTTTTTTTTTGCTATCGAACTACAAATATCTGAACATCTGAACTGAACACGCCCTATTTCTCAAACGTAGTGGACGGACGAAAAGCACTCTAAAGCTTCTTCTATCTGTCTATATTTCTGAGATGAGGTATTATGTACACTATTTACATTATTCGGACTATTGTCCTCATCTTTGTCGCCATATTTATCACAACATTTCGGCCTTTCAGTATCTGTCTATTGAGATGAGATTATGGACTATTTTACATTATTCGGACTATTGTCCTCATCTTGGTCGCCATAATTATGGCAACAAATATATTATTTACATTACACCGACAGTAGTCGGTGTAATGTAAATAATGTGCAAAATCAAATCAATTAAATTTTGGCAACCATCAATATGAAATATTAGGTTGTTGTATAAATTCGTTCGTTTTTTTTATAATTTATTTGATTAACTATTACTTATTTATTACTAGTTCCGACGAATTTTTCAACAATGTATTCCCCTTTATTGTTTACAACTTTCTGGCAACGACCCACTAAATGTTCAACGCCTCGACGATAAAAATACTGCGGTGTTGGCTCAAAAAAATCACCATCAAAGCACATGTTAAGCTCCACAACTTTATTGGACGAAACACCCTTAAACACCATTAAAAAGTGACAGATAAAATTGGTAGTCTGAAAGGGCTAGATCAGGAGAATATGGTGGTGTAGTAGAATTTCCCAACCGAGCACTTTCGTTTGAATCTACGAGTAGCCTAGTACTGAGCGAGTAAACTAATCTATGAGAAATCATTTGGTAATAGAGGTGTTTGTTTCTCTCTTTCAATGTCTGTGGCAACAATGCGCCGTGTTTCCAGCCCTTACCCAGTCAGTGAAGATGACGAGCGACAGTAACATAGCTAGCTATGTTCTTAGTCAGTTCCCTTGGGGTCTGGTGCGGTTCTTCTTAAATCAGCGCGCGCAATTGGTTCTCATCAAACGGAACACTTTGGCCAGAACGCCAAGAGTCTGTGAGTTCGGACTTCCTCTGTTTGGAATGGGAAAACCATTTCTTTTCCATTCTGTCGGCAATAATGTCATTTTCATGCACAGCACAAATGTATCCAGCATCTGTGTGACCTCAATTAAAAGCAAAAGAGGAGATGGTCACTCTTGTATACTTGGGCATTATCTGCTCGTCTTGAAAGACGACTGGACGACCTAGAAAAAATCCAGAATATCAGTTGGAGATCCCATGCAACGCTTTACGCAATTTACGGAGAAGTGAGACCAATGTCTCTTAAGCTCAAACAAAAACGATTACAGTTTACCGGCCACTGCCACCGAGTGGACAGGGAAATCGTTTCATCTTTACTCCTATGCCATCCTTCTGGAATGAAAACGGACTTTCTGTTGTAGCCTGTTTAAGGACCAGAAAGAAAGACGAAGGTAGGCTGAACAAGTGTATTGAAATAATAGATATATACAAAGCAAGAGTGTTAGTAATAAGCAGTTAGAGGTGTATGTCCGAATGGTAGGTTAACACTGCATCTACGCTACCCTACGACTCCCCCCTAGGAAGTCTCGAAGTTAGTATTGATGAGAGGAGGAAGAGTTCATTCTATTGTAGGAGGGTTTACCACAACACTTTCCCAGACACCACAGCAACGGGATTCAGGGTTGGACATTGGGGATCTGGGGACAGCAATGTAGGACCGAAAAGCGTGGAAAAGGATTTTCAATGGAATCCCGACCAACCATAGGGAGGTCGAAGGATGATGATGATGATGATACATGACATTCCATTTCAAAATGGTGTCTGATGTGAAATAAAATTTATATAAATTTAGACAGCAGTTTCGCAGGATGGGCACAATTAAAAAGAAGCAAAAAATGCCGTGAAAGATTATTCTTATTCTTATTCTTCGAGATCATTTATATCGAAGAATATCAGAATCAAAAAAACGAAAGAACACGCGGACGATGCATGATCGAAAAGTATCGGGATTGTTGCTTTGGTAACGGAACTACATTACTACGCGGAGTGAAGTTCCTTGGCACAGGTTGTGCTTGGACCCTGTCGAGTATTCAGACTAAGTTATAACATTCAAACTCGCTTGTGTTGTTTATAGCAGTGTTTAGAAGAAAAGTGTATATAGTGTGGTCGTCTCATTACACCACAGAGGTTCCATCAGTGACCATGGCCTTTGCTCAGCAGTTTTGGGCAAAGGACGACATTCCTCAGGTTCGACAATCATCATATTCCCCAGTTATTTCCCTTTGTAACTTTTTCCCAGTTTCCAAACACCAAATCCCATTAGAAAAGAACAAGATTTCAAGACGTCGTGGGAATCCAAGAGAATTTCACGAGGCAGCTGCTCGCTATCTCCCAAAAAAAAATACTTCTATAAATAGAAACGATATTGGATAAAGTGTTTGGCTTCAGAAGGGGACTACTTCGAAGGTGATTAAATGCCGAATTAATATGTTAAGTTTTCTCATACCTTTTTGGTAAGGCCTCGTATACGTAACGACCTGAAAAAAAAAGAAAAAGAAAAAATCATTAGACGATTTTTAATTTCAAAAATTGGAAAATTTTTAAATTTTTAAGTTTAAGCGTCCAATGATTTTTTTTTTCTTTTCTTTCAGATTTAACAACTTAAGGTCTTTGGCAATTTCAACCATGGAAAGATTAACAATCAAACAATGTGTTAAAGTTTCAAGAGTGAAATTGGAAAAATTGTTCGTACATTTCAAACAAACTGGGTCGGTGGCAGATGTGAAAATGTGCTCGTTTACGCCGTTCTGCTGAAAGCATTGCTGCAGTGCACGATAATGTGGCCAAAAATCTAGACACCTCTATTCGTTCTCGCGCGCAGCAATTGAATCTCTCTACAACAACGTTATATCGTTTCCAATTGTACTCTCGGTTGGTCGACAAAAAAAAAAAAAAATCACAAAATGCATTTCTGTTTGAAGGTCCATTTTCGTAATAGGCTTCGATAACTTTAACACGGTGTTTGATTGTTAATCTTTTCATGGTTGAAATTGCCAAATACTTAAGTTGTTGAATCTGAAAGAAAAAGAAAAAAAAATCATTGGACGCTTAAACTTAAAAAATTTAAAAATCAGTTTAATTATTAAAATCGGCAAAAATC